TGCTGCTGCTGCTGCTCTCCGCGCTGGCCGAGTGAGCTGCGTGAGAGTGCGAGCGCAGTGTGAATTGCCAGTGCAGCGCCAGACAGCAGCCGCGTGTCGAAAAATCCAACAGCACAGTGCAGTGGCTCTGTGCGTGTGTGTCTCTCTCTCTCTCTCTTTGAGCTGCGCGAGTGGCGGCGCGTTTGGCTTCACCCGCCCAAAATCCTCTCTCTCTCTCTGCGCAATCTTTTGGGCTGGGCGCCCTGCTGCTGCCCTGCTGGCGCCGCCAGTGCACACCCCGCTCTTTGCGAGGACGCGCGCCTGGCGCTGCCGATTTCCAATTTCAGTGTGGCGGCGCTTGCCCCTCGATCTCGCCTCTGACACCGCAGCCGCCTCCCGATCCGCCTTCCCTGCGCTGCAATAATCCTAGACTCTAACACCTTCAAGGTCAAAAATCGACGCCATCGTTTTGCACCTGAGAAGCCGTTACCAGCCCTTCTCCATATCACGAGACAGCACACACGTTGGCCAAAGGTCGCAAAGTCATGGACGACAGGACAGAATGACAAGGGGTTGCATTGGCGAAGAGACTACAGTAGCAAATGAGGACAGGGAGCAGAGGGTCAGCAGTCTGAACTCTGTGTGCTTGCGCTTCTGCATGGCCATGATCGCGAATATACGCTGCGAGCGAGCTGCGAGTGCCATACGACGACGACAGCTCAGTGATGCATGTTTGGCTGTATGCTATAGTCACTCTTCAATGGATTTGCAGTCTGGGGCGACACTGTGTGCTCATCATCGCTGGTCGTCGTTTGGCCCTCGGCAGCTTCGCACGGCGTATCCTCGGCGGTCATGGTGTCGGATCGAGTCAAAACCTACCCGTTACGATGCAGACCATCCCCCCGCCCAACTTGCAGCAGTGGAATGGCCACGGTGTATCGATCATCGATCCAGGAAAGAGCGAAGAGGGGGTGCGGGACGTCAATACTTACCTGCTTGCCTCGCACCAAGAGCGCCTTTCTCTCGTGGAGACAAGAGGGCTCGCGGTGCCAAGGCATCAAGAATGTCGGTCGAGAACGCTGCCGACTTGCAAACGATCCGACGCGCCTCCATGATGGTCGCGATCCTGGGACGTTGTGCGTCGGGATTCTCACGAAGAGACTCACCATCGCCATCCTCGGACCATCACGTAAACATCGCACGCAGCCGTGAAGCTGCACAACGAATGCGGCGCATTCGGACCTCGCCGATATCAGCAGAAGCTACGACCAACCGCAGCCTGCCAGGAGCGACAGCCACGGCGGAGCAAAGGCTCTCTTGCCAATGTCTCCTCTTACTCTTGAAGACGGGAACGCGAACTTGGCACGGTGGATAAGTCCAAGCTCGAACTTTTGTGTCTGTTGGCGTGCGAATCGTCGTGCGGGGATCAGTATGCTGTTCTGCCCATCATCAAATCCAAGTCCGAGGCTGGAACTTGATATCAACGTACCTTCTTGGATTTTTGTTCGAAGAGAGGAAGGAAGGAGTTGCCCGCCAGCGCCAGGCTTTTGTAGACTGGCCTGCCACTGCTCACCTCCAAGGCCTCTGCACCGCGCGCTGGCCTGCAAGAAGAAAAAGTCGCAAGAAAAAAAAACCGCGGCGGGAGGAGGAAAGCAAAAAGGCCCAAGTCACGTGGGGACACGTTGTCAGATCTGCCGATCATACACTTTGAAGAATTCGATGTTCACGCGACGTGGAGGTGATCTTCCAGAGGAGTGTGCTTTGGCATCAGATGGACCCTGACGAAGGCGCCCAAATGCTTGGTGTGATGCTGCTGCACCGTCCTCTCTTTGCGACACCACAGCATCCCCCCCCCCCCAAAGCAGACTCG